TATATAATATATATATATATATGTATTAGTATATATATATATATATATATATATGTATATATATATATATATATATATATATAATAATATATATATATATATATATATATATATATATATATATATATATATATATACTTGTATGAGTAAGCAAAGTTTTGTTTAAATTGGTTGAGTTCACGCATCTGCGCAAATTGATGCTACTTTTAGATATGTTATGCATGAATAAGCACGTTATGTATGTGTTTATATATTTAAGTACACGCAAATAATAATATTGTCGATTGTGTATGGTATTGAAGAGGTGAACTAGTGTCTGGTTTATAGTGAAACGTGCACCTGGTTGCTTAGTCAACTCGGTTTAAATTCTCGGCTGCATGTACTTTTGACATTTGAAACAACTCTGGGATATAGTTCTGTTATTTGTGCGGCCTATTGTGTACCCCCACTTTAACTAACTAACTGACTTGATACGGATACACCTTGCCATTCCTGGTTGATTGTCGGGTTTCAGGAAGGAAATATGTTGACAGGTCTTCTCATGAGAGTGCCCAACCGTATCGAGACGTACGATGTCTTCCGCTACGGACAGCAAACTGAGGAGAACAGGCACAGTGAGGGAAAGAAGCTGCTGGCATTTGTCAGGTAGATGCTATGTTTAGGTGTTTTTGCATTGCCGTACTAGAGTGGTTCATGTCTTTACTGCATACGCTTGGCGCTGCTACACATTGGTAACAGTTTCAGGAAATCAGTGGAGAATGATTGTATATGTGTCCTCCACCCTTCGTGCAGATAGTACATGCCCACCGATCAATTTGAGGGAATTTTGGAGTGGTATATTAGACCGTACTGAGTTACTTAGCATCATACCTCGGAAACCTCAGCTTCTGCCACTTACATATATCTCTATAGTCGATATCCTCGCGGCCATGCCATAGATCGATAATACCGTCTTATATATTCCGACCGAGGTATTGATATGCAACTATATACGCTTGTAGTGTTGGGACTTTCCGTTAGTTCTGGGCCAGTTCTGGTAGTGAATGGTTAGTGATCCACCTCGACTAAAGTGTTTGTCAATGTAGAACATCGCAATACTGGCCTTCTACCGCTGGCTCGTCTGTAAGGAGATCATTGACTATATACACGGGTCTTGGTGTTGCATCACTACACATCGATGGGGCGATCAGAACATCGTTGATGGCAGGATACAAATCAGTCCATTGACAGTTACTCAACATCCTGCGGTCGCAAAAACCCACGCTACGTATCTTTCGTTAGCGTATACACATCCATATCGGTAACCATCCCCTTTGGTGTGTCGCAGCCTAGACCTACTGCTAGCATGCGTCATGGATTGCAATGCGTTTCGAGAGTCACAGAAAGATCGCTGCTATACCATTTGCATCGGTTGTTACCAATGGCTGGCTACATGAAGAGGGCGTACCCCTGTCACTAATCACCAATGGATAGATAACCATAAAACCCGAAACCTACGACGATGTGGTATAAATCGGCATCGTTCCATTTCAATTCCAAGAGCGGATAAGCGGTTGTTGATGAAACCCTATTTAATCGCTGACAGGCTCTCTATCGATAGCCACTGATTGGGTTCTGTTTGTCGCGATACCACACCACAGATTTGGCGATCACATGTGCGGCCATCCCGGAATTGTACACGGGGGTGCAACCGCTGCCGTCTTCGATGACCTCTTCGGGTGGCTGTTTGACTACCAGGTATTGCTTGTATTCCTCTGGTGTGCAGGGTACTGTGTGGGTTAAACTATATACGGGTGATACTTCATGTACGTGCAGGGTACTGTGTGGGTGAAACTATATACGGGTGATACTTTATGTACTGAATAGTTGGAGCATAAGCGTGATGTGTAGCAACAGCCTCATGTCTTGAACCTGCTCTCGCCCGAGTGCTGGCTTAACTGTATGGGAGTATATTTCCAGTTGTCACTTACGTAGCATGACATACTCGCCAACTCTATTAGGGAGAAAACACAACCATACATATGATATATCTACCCGTATTCCCAATTCAAGTCGCGCCAAGCTTTCAGCTCGTTCATATACAATGCCATGGCCAGCACCGGAGGGTTCTCTCTTTTTGCCTTGTGGTCGGATCTATAACCGATATTTGCTTCGTTCCTCTACCAGGGTATCAAGGTGTTCACGGCCTACCTCAACACATCGTACCGGTCGCCAACCTACGTAAACACTACACTTGTGTACGAGATGCACATTGATAAGGTGGAGGGGCGCAAACTCTACGCCAAAGCCACAGCACGCGACGGTCTAGGACCAGACAGCACACTACTGGCAGAGAGTGAGGTTCTGTACATCGTAGCTCGATGAGAACTTTAGTTTGCAAGCCGATCTGGCCGCACAGCGCCTACAGGTTAAGGGCATTTCGCAAGTAATGGCCAGCAATAGGCCACTAGAGGTATCAGCATGGGGGGAGGATGTAGTTAATGAGTGGGCTGGGCCTGGGCATATCGAGGTGAGTGACCAATTACCTTGACTAACAATTAGCGATATCAGGGCGAGATTGTTTTGCAATAGCAGACACTAGAGACCAAACCGCGATATCAAGATATGTTGTACCTTGTACAGCACTTTTCGCAACTATGTGTATAGGAATATGTAGTAAGATTTAGTGTACTCCAAGCAATTTAGTAACCTAGATGCGGAGCACCAACTGAGCCAATAAAGTATGAAGCTGAGTCAATAAAGTATGCAGCACTCGCTTTCTCAAATCGGGAGCGCCGTCATCAAGTCTTTATTTGAGTACGGTAAAGAATGTTTTAAAACGGTTCTCCCATACGTTGGGTTTGAAGTTTATAGTCCTAACGACGCTGAAAAGCAAGCTGACTTCGCCATGATCATTAAGAAATAAATATAAATACATCATGATATCTGTTATCAACTTATCAGGTTGTAGTTTATTGTTTACTAATAAAATACCATGTACCAGTGAAATGAGTATCAATGAATAATAATATTGTTGCGGTCGAACTTATTTAAGGCTGTCATCATGTCTTTATAGAGAATATAGTGTAACACTCGATAATGACCATTTCAGTGTGGAGTAATTATTTTGCGGATACATTACATTATTTCCTGATATCTGGGGACTCAGGACTGTACCGTGGGGCCCCCGGGGGGGGTCCAAATACCGAGCGAAGAGATGATTGGTAGGATTTGTACGATATGTCCCATAGATATAGTAAAACTCGGATTTCTGAGATCAAGTTTCATTCTGAAGAAGTCAATTGGTTGAGATGCAAGCTCTGGATTTTTTAAATCAGTTTATATTGGTCAACTGGGAACGTAATATCAACTTTTTAACCAATCAAAATTCTCCTAAGGTTTGCCTTTTGGGTTAATATCCTGTAAACGTATTTAGGTAGAAGTGGGGCAGAAAGATTCTAACCTACTATGAGAAGTAGTCATGAAATAGAAGAACTCACATTGCATCACAGAACCTAAAAACTGCACCCATCTTAAATTTTTAGGACTAATGCAAAGTAAACATTGAACGTAAAAATAGAAAAGGATTGATATTTATACGTTGCAACGCAAAACGTAATGGAGATAGCTTTTAGGTCCACTGCCTCAGAGATCGTCTTTCTCTTGCCTTCAAATTTGTAAAAACATAATATTATAAAAATATGCTATTTTCTGGTCATGTTAAAAATTATTATTGTGATTGTGATGTTTTGTTCGCCTTCAAAGAGGTGATATATAAATACAAACTTGGATACAGCACAAAGAAGCCATTTCCCATCCAGGCTATACTATTATATGTATCATCCACGCACAGAGGGAGAGAGAGATATGTACACCTGCTTTGGCAATTAAACACTACACGGATAGAAAACTCTATCGAACTCACTAACTAGAACTCACTAAGTCATCAGCAGCGCAGGTGCGAACCCATCCGTTATCCGTGACCATGGTGAGTGTAAGCATATCCCGGAATATACAACAAGGGGTGGACCCTGCTTCAACGTATATTCTGGAGGAACAGATAGGCGATGGGAGTTTCGGAGAGGTGTTCAAAGGGAAGCTGAAGAAGACTGGAGAAACTGTAGCGGTCAAAATTGTAGCTATACAGGTACGTTAGATGCAAGTTTGCATACTAGTTCTAAGAGCACATCGAAATCATCGATTTCCACACGCGCGTATACAAAGGCTGGTACGCTCGGTCATATGATATTATTATTGCAAATTAAAGGAACCGTTTCCTTGTGAAGACACAGATTCACACCCGAAGTACAGAAGGCTCATTATCATCAAAGTTTGCCTGCGTGCTTGTCGATTGCTTTGTTCGGTCCTTAAGCGAATCTATGGTCATACTTCCGCATATATATAATTTCATGATGTTTGTTTGGCACAAGTCGCATACTTTTACATGGGAAAAGGGTGGATGTAGCATATATGAGGAAATAGATCGGCACAATCTTGGTTCTTCCTAGTTGTATATTTGACAACTTCACATCTCATAGTAGCAATCACGTTCTACAAGCTCTCACGCATTATCGCATACAAACGTGTTTGTGAGAGAAGCATATGCGCTCATATACTAGTGCATGAACGCTTACTGTAGGAATATTTTTGGAGTACACGTCCATCTGTTTGTATTTTTCTAATATATGCAAGTGAATGTCAGTTTTGCGTGTGTCAAGCCACACATACTAAACGAATATATATATATATATATATATATATATACTATAATAACACACACACACACACTAACAACATATATATATATATATATATATACACTATATATATATATATATACTAACACACACACACACACACACACACATATATATATATATATATATTACATATCGTTTATTTATGTGTGAATAAGTTTGTGTGGACGACAAGTGTGATTTGCATAAAACTTGCGAGGTATTTTTTGTACCTTTAGTATTGTAGCGTTGTCCTAAAATCTCACGTACACTGATTCCCAGTTGTATTAGCGTATAATCTAGTATGTTCATTATTGCTGAGAGCTTGATGTATCCGATTGTGTATGTTTTGATATATGTCGAATATTTTCACATATTGAATGATCCCGACCCTACGCATGCACATACGATGAAAGGGGGCATCTATACCTGTTTTTTTAAGACAAGCCTTTGTCCAGTCTTCATAAATGGTGCGACGTTACAGTTAACCACATGCCTCAATTATCCAATTAGTTGTCTTCCTACTCTTGGTGTATGTTAAAATTCGAACCACTTGGTACCTGTATGCAGGATGATGAGGAACTGATGGAGTTTCAGGTAGAGATCGACATTCTGTTCAAATGCAATGATCCGAATATCATCAAAATTCATGCAGCATACCTATGGAAGCGGACTCTTTACATGGTGCTCGGTAAGTGTGTGGAGGGATGTTTTCAATAGCGATTTGGCTATGTATGTGTTCGTGCCACGTTTCATTGTAAGTTTGTCATGGCTTGGTGCACGGTATCATGTTGGTTTCCGAATCCCATTTGGTATGTTTGATAGGTAATTCATTACTTGGGATTCTCCATCATTTCCCGAGAGTTTGCCTGATTAACACCACAGTACTTTCCAATCCTATGAAAGTGGAGGTACAATATACCACTCCCATGTTAGTATGCGAATTTTGCACGAGTTTTTTTTTTCCTGTGACTTGTCATCCGGATTGTTGCGACAATCTAGTAAATTGCTTCGGTGTATATGTGTTCGGGTGTAAAGGTATATATGTGTCACTCAGATGAATGTACATTTGAGTGGGAAGTTGTTTGCGCGTGCTCCATGTCCACGCAAGCAAACAGTATAGATAAAGCGGTCGCTAAGCCCTTTCTCGTGCACACCATTTTATATACGCCGATAGAATACTGTGGGGGGGGTAGCTTGGACGATATCTACGAACAACTGGAGTCTCCGCTTGACGAGCCTCAGATCAAAGAAGTGTGCTACTACACGCTGCAGGCTCTGGTGTTTATGCACGCCAACCATATGGTGCATCGCGATATCAAGGCGGGCAATGTGCTGCTGACGAATGCGGGCGAGGTATGCTGGATTCGTGGGACTATGTCTGGTTTGCTAATTGTCGAGCTTGTTTGGAAGTGTTTCTTGTATATATATACAGATGATTACACTAGTAACTAAGTCTGGCTTGTCAATTGTCTGGCCGGTTTGTATGTGTTTCTTGCGTATATATAAATAGTCACGCAGATGATTGCTCTTGTAACCTATTTTGGTCTGTCTAGCTTGTTAATTGTCTGGCCTGCTTGGAAGCGTTTCTTGCGTGTATATATGAATAGTCCCGCAGATGATTGCCTTAGTAACCTAGTCTTGCTTGCTAATTGTATTGCTTGCTTGCAAACGGTTCTTGCGTGTATACAAATAGTCCCGCAGATGGCTGCTCGAGTAACTTAGTATGGCTTGCTAATTGTTAAACCCTAAAACATTAACATCATCGATGTTGCTCAGACCTGTCGATATTTTCAAGTGACCATGCGATCCAATTTTCTTCTCAACTTTAACTGGGTATTTGTTTATACTGGTTTCCCCCATAATTGTAGGTCAAAATTGCCGATTTCGGAGTATCGGCTCTGAATTCGGGACCAAATATGAGGAGGGACACGTTTATTGGCACACCTTACTGGATGGCGCCTGAGGTAAGAAATCATATTTGGGGCTAGATTCACTGAATTACTACACCACTGCCAGCCCATTGGATGCGGTTCGCAAATGACTTAAGCTCGTAAGTGCGAGGCTGACGATAAAACGGTCTAAGACATCGTCTATTCTGTCCTGTTTGAAGTTTCGAACTACTGTGTTGTTGTAGCCACGTACAGTAAGTACGTGGGCGTGTGTTGCAGTCTTGTCGATTGAGGGCTCAACCAAGCACCACCTCGGTGGTATATATTACCCAAACAGAACCTTGCTTTATACTACTAAAGTTCTCACCCCATATATCGCGTCTTACACCACACTATTGGAATCGGGAGTGTACTTGTCACGGCTTGCAAGATGGTCTGTAGATACTCACCGCCGTAGCAAGTTTCCATTCAGACATGTGCTGTTATTGTATTTGATTTCGAGTATATGTTGATTGGTTTTAGGGTATAAGGTTAACTACTACATGAATCTGTGTATGCACATTACAAAAACTAATAATCATATTCATGTATTGTACGTGCATCTCTGTGGATGGTACCTGTAATAAACCAAATGTGCGTATATGTACAAAATTAGCTGTTTATATATATATATATATATATTTATATATTTATATATTTATATATATATATATATATACAGATACATATACATATACATATACATATATACACACACACACACACACACACATATATATATATATATATATATAATATATATATACTAGGTAGTAGTATATTATATATATATAGTATAATAATATATATATATAATATATATATATATATATATATATATATATATATGTATATGCACTTCTACAGCTGCACTACGAAGATCACTTACTTTTTCGATATAGAATGTGTACCAGATTCATACTCGTACAGCTATCTCGAGTATTGCGTTTGTAGATCATATTACTCTCATTGAATTGATTTCCCACCTTGTGTTTCTCTCATCTGTGACCCATTATCTATTCATACTTCCATCACTCTCTGGCCCTTGCTCATACGCACAACACTCCTGAACTCATAGGTGATCGCATGTGAGACCTCCAAGGAAAATCCCTATGATGAGCTTTGTGACATCTGGTCTGTTGGTATCACGGCTATTGAGTTTGCACAAATGAATCCTCCATACCATGACCTGCACCCGATGCGCGTGCTGTTCCGTATACCGAAGTCCGTGCCCCCAAAACTATCCGACCCGGATGCTTGGTCGCCTGAGTTCAATGACTTCATTCATCAATGCCTGATCAAAGACCCGGCTCAGGTAATGTATATATATATATATATATATATATAACATATATATATATATATATAACGTATATATATATATATATATAACATATATATATATATATATAACGTATATATATATATATATATATATATATATAAGTACAGGTATCTATCTACAAATATCTATTTTCCTTCATTCACAATCTCACCCATTGCATTTTGTACAATAAAACAGCGCGCGTCGGCCAAGAAGATGCTGCAACACCCCTTCTTCACCGCCAACGGGTACAAGCCCACGCACTCGGAAATGCTCAGACTGCTGGCTGAGCGTTCGAGTATCGAAGAGTCTATGGAATCCGTTTCTATAGGCGAGGATGCGAGTGGGGACGATGTTAGTATGGATGAAATGACTGACAATGTCAGTCGCATGTCTGTGGTCGAGCACTCAGATGCCGCCGATGGACCGGTGAGTGCGGTGTTTGTGGCCTGGTGGCAGAGCCTCACATTATGAAACAATGGTAGCAATGTCATGCGCATATGAGTGTAGTATGGGTTTGTGCTTGCCTGTGGTCATGCTCAAATGAGTGTGGTGTATGTCTGTGTTTGCCTGTGGTCTTGTGCGTATGTGGTATGTGATAAGTCATGCGCATATGAGTGTAGTGTGTGTCTGTGTTTTGCCTGCGGTTCTGTGAGTATGTGGGGATGTGATAAGTCATGCGCATATGAGTGTAGTATGGGTCTGTGTTTGCCTGTGGTCTTGTGCGTATGCGGGTATTTGTGGTTTGGGTGGGGTGAGTGGGGATGATGTCGGCAGATAGAGGGCAGCTGACAATACCAGTCTTGTGTCTGTAGTCTGAGCACTCAGGTGCTGTCGATGGACTGGTCAGTTGCGCAATTGTTATAGTTCAGATAGGAAGGTCTCTTGTGCACTTATACGAGTATACTTTGTCTGTGTGATGTCGTATTGTTGTCGCTGTGTAGTGTCTGTATTAGAGCTTTCGGGTGCTGTCGAGGTACAAGTCGTATTGTTGTCGCTGTGTAGTGTCTGTATTAGAGCTTTCGGGTGCTGTCGATGTACATGTCGTATTGTTGTCGCTGTGTAGTGTCTGTATTAGAGCTTTCGGGTGCTGTCGATGTACAGGTGTGTACGATGTTGAAGAAGATAAAACAGCCTCCGCAAGAGAGCACGAGGGCTAGTAGGTAGCCTACGAGGGCTAGTAGGTAGCCTACGAGGGCTAGTAGGTAGCCTACGAGGGCTTGTAGGTAGCCTACGAGGACTAGTAGGTCGCCTACGAGGGCTAGTATGTAGCCTACGAGAGCCAGTAAGTAGTCTAAGGGCTAGTAGGTAGCCTACGAGGGCTAGTAGGTAGCCTACGAGGGCTAGTAGGTAGCCTACGAGAGCCAGTAGGTAGTCTACGAGGGCTAGTAGGTAGCCGACCCACAGCTTACTGTGTTGTGGGCCCTGGTCTGTGTACATGGTTAATCAACACTACGACAAGGCTGCGACCTCGAATGTTGATCGTAGCTGTGGCTGAAATTAATCTATTTGTTGATGATGGGCAGAGACTGTTCTCAGCCCCTCAATCCCTGGTGTATGTACATGGTTATAGCAATACTGAGGCAATTGGTTAAACAAACAGACCTCAATTGTATAAGAAAACTAGTTGAAACGGTTAGAGCCACACCCAAGCTATGTCAGGGAGCTCGATTGTCCTACGAGGTCTAATATGAACCCATTTGGTGACGCTGTGCAGAAACCGTTCTTAGCCCCGAAACCGCAAACGGAGGAGCGCAAGGTCAATGTCGTCAAGACACGAACGATCCGCAACACAGACGGCACCTTCAAGCGAGTGACCACCAAGAAGAAGCTCACTGAAGTGGAGAACACGCGACAGGTATGCATGTTTGCGTGTTTCCGACAACTACAGGCACGTCTTTGGCTGTCTGTCTGTCTGTAATGGAATGGATGTGCATACATGCTTATAGACTCGTGAGTATGAGGCGATGGCACTTAGTCATTGTCCAACCAATAATGGCAATCAATGAAACCTTGAACATAGGAGACCCTCTCGCACTCCAGCTGGGCTGACCAACACCTTCGGTGTGTCCATACTGCCATGTGCAGGTGCGAAAGGCGAAGGAGAACCAGATCCAGGCAGTCCGAAAACAGGCGCGTTTGGAACGGGTGGAGTCCAAGACCAGAGAAGCGTCGAATATCAGGACACTGGAGATTGCCATGCGCGAGCAGGCGTCCCAATTGGCTATTGTACGGCGGCGGCATCAGGACAATGTGGATAGCATTCAAAGGTACAAGTGTACGGGTGATGGCTGCCGGTTTGCACGGTAGTCTGGGAGCTCAAGGTGTACTACTACTTGTCACGTTGAGTGTTGAATGAGATTAGCTGGAGGGATAGAAGTAGCAGACTATGGGCAGGCAAGCTCAGTTGTCAGTAGAGGAGTCTGTAAGGGGTCCCTTGCGACATGCACGCACTGTCTCAAGAATACCTTTAATACGACTGCACTTGGAATTCGCTTTAGGACTATGGACCGTGATCCCTTGCGATAGACACGTTCATTACCCCACATACACGCACTGTCTCAACAATACCTCGCATACTCATACGACTGCACCTGAATTTCGCTTTAGGACTATGAACCGTGAGCTGGACAAGCACAAAAGCAGCATGCCCGACCTACTCAAACAGAAGGAGCGGATGCTCAGGAAGAAACGCGATAAGGATTTAGCCGAGCAGACCTCGCTCATAGACACGCAAACAAAGTGTGTAACATGTGTTTACATAGTGTGTATTGTATATCTACAGAGTGTGTGCCTCCTGTGTGGGAGAGCCTCTGTGAGTGGACGGCCCATGTCCTGCTCGGACAGAAGGAGAGCGTGCTTGTTGCGTGTCTTCTGCTTCTTTCATTGGGATAAGGATATATGTTATGTATATGAATTAGTGATGCATGCTGTGTATGGGTGTGTTTATGGGATAAGGATATATGTTGTGTATATGAATTAGTGCTGCATGCTAAAACTTGTGTATGGGCGTGTTCATGGGATAGGGATATATGTTGTGTTTATGGGATAGTGATATATGTTGTGTATATGAATTAGTGATACAGCTGTGTGTATGGGTTTGTTTATAAGATAAGGATGTATATTGTGTTTGTGGGATAGGGATGTATGTCGTGTTTATGGGATAGGGATATATGTTGTGTTTATGGGATAGGGATATATGCTGTGTTTATGGGATAGGGATATATTTTGTGTTTATGGGATAGGGATATATGTTGTGTTTATAGGATAGGGATATATGTTGTGTTTATGGGATAGGGATGTATGTTGTGTTTGTGGGATAGGGATGTATGTCGTGCTTATGGGATAGGGATACATGCTGTGTTTATGAGATAGGGATACATGTTGTGCGTACGGGATAGGGATATATGTTGTGTATATGCTTTAGGGATACATGTTGTGTGTATGATGCCTGCAGCCAGTCAAGTGATGATTATACAGTTTGTTCGATGTGTATTGCATCGTTGGCCGTATTTGATGCGGATGGATGTTGAAGCTGTGGATATCTCTGCGTGTGACTCAAGCATGCTGTACGCGTTCTAGAGGGCTTCATAATCCACTCCCATGCAGTGGCTACGGAAAGGGATGGAGTATGTGTGGTCACAACTAGAGTGTGTAAAGTAAACGCACTGATTATGTATGGTCGAAGCTAGGGTGTATAAAGAAAACGCATTGAGTATTTATGGTCACAACTAGCGTACCAAGTAAACGCATTGGGTATGTATGGTCACAACTAGTGTATATAAAGTAGGCGCATTGAGAATGTATGGTCGCAGCTAGGGTATATAAAGTCGCTTTAGTTCTGCGCCAGAAGTGTCTGTAATATGGAAACACTCAGCTTGTGCATACATTAACGTTCGGATTCCTCCTAGATACGAATTATGAACACATTTTTGTTTTTCCCTTTAGCTACGATATATATACACACACACATATAAATATATATATATATACACACACACACACACACATATATATATATATATATATATATATATATATATATATATATATATATATATATGCCTTCCTAGATAAGGCTTGTATACACATAGTTGTTTTTCTCCTGAGCTACAGCACACTAATACATTATTCTGTCTGGCTTTCTAGGTACGGCTTGAAAGAACTCAAAGCACAGCTCAAGAAGAACGACTACTCAAAGGCGGATGTCAAGACCAAATTAGAGGTGTACGAGAAGACGCACAGCCAGGAGAAGAACGACCGGCTGAAGGAGTGGCGACGTGCGCAGAGGGCTCAGCACAACAAGGTAGGTGGCTGTGCTGTGAGTCATAGTGTCCACACTTGCATATGACACAGAGTGATGCAGATGCGTCCGCATTTGCTTATTGTGAGAGGTATGCTTGGGTATTGGATTTGTTTAGGGCTGTGTGTGAAGTAGATACCTTCGGCTGTGCGGTTGCGTATTCCTACGGGTGCCCCTGTGACAGGGGTGGGATGAGAGAGTTTTATTATACAAGGCTATGTATGTGCCATGCAGCTATGTGGTAGGTAGGCTGTTGATGGTTTTTGCCCAGGCTCGTCAGTGTCGAGAGACGCCAAGCACACTGTCTGCTACGCTATACAGCCCTAGAGGAATGGTTTGAGGTGGTTGTACTGTACTGTCTTGAGCTATTCGTCTGTTATAGTAAGGTACACACTGTAACTAAACATATGCCGTCGTGTATGTACTACGTCAGTATGAAGGCTTTCAGCTGACACTCGAGTATAGTCCCAGCAGTATCA